TCTTTATAAAATCAGTTGTTTCCACAAGGCATCACTCCACATCTTTTGAAAAATACCAAAAATATCTTCCTTTCTATCACTTGCTCCATGTACCTTAAATCTTCAGTAACTTTCTAAACATAAGAAAACAAGGTAGACTCCTTTTTCTGTCCAACTTTACTTTTGTCCAACTTTGGTTTTTAAGACATAGACTAAAATTGACTAGATGATCTGGATATCAAATATTCACAGTGTGCTAAATGTTTGTTTAGAATCAAGATTTCAAAATAATTCAATTCTTCAGTTAGCTGGTGACATTTATGTAGCAGCCTTAATTATCTAAAAGTGAAAATAGGATTCTAAAAGTCCACATACCAAAGCTAATTCAGGGTAGTCCATAGCAGATTCAAAAAGGTGGCAGGGAATAGGAAATGTGGACTAAAGGCAGCCATATGAAGAAGCAGTAACAGAAAAGGTAAAGACAAAAAGTAGTTCCAAAATTCAAATGGAACTCAGACTCCATCTCCCATTCTCCCTCTGCACCTTTTGTACTGGCTGTCCTCCATTCCTGGAATGTATTTTCTCTTTGCTTCCTGCTCTTAGAATCCCTGGTTTCCTTCAAAAGTTAGCGTTAAGCGCCAACTTCTACATGAAACCTTTACTGATTTGTTAACACACACACACACACACACACACACACACCCCTCAACAGACAGCAGGGTCTTTCTGAAGTGTCTTCGTATCTTTAGTGCCTGACACATAGAAGATACTAGTACATGTATATTGATCCAATCCAATCTCATTTTATAGGTGGTGAAACCAAAGCCCAAAGAGGGTGACTTACCAGTGGTCACTTTCCCCAGGCTTTGGTTCTACCATCTGTAAAATGAGGAGATTGGACTGGATCAATAAATATGCACTTGAATTCAGGTCCTCTGACTCCAAAACTCTATGTAATATAGATTTAAAAAAAAAAAATCCAAAACGCTTAAATTGTTTTTAAAAAGGATGTTTCCGTTCCCAGAAAATTCCCATATAGGGAACAGTATATTCCTTAATGGTGCTGTATTATTTACACCTGCTTATATCATAATTTATAAGTGTGAAGTTGTTTCATGTATGTTTGGTTTCTTGAGGAAAGACTACATCAGCTTCCCCCCCCCCCCCCAGGAATTGCTACACAGTGCCTGGAAATACCCTCTGCATACTTAAAACATATGATAAATGCTTTTTACTGATATCACTATGCTGTTTCAGTCAGTTTTTAGTTGTGGTCAACTCTTCATGACCCCACTTGGGGTTTTCTTGGCAAGGATACCAGAGTGGGTTGCCATTTCCTTCTCTAGCTCATTTTACAGATGAGGGAACTGAGGTAAACAGGGTTAAGTGACTTGCCCAGGGTCACATAGCTAGTGAGTAACTGAGGCTGGATTTGAACTTAGAAAGATGAGTCTTCCTGACTCCAGGCTTGGTACTCTAACCACTGTGCCATCTAGCTGCCCCACTGATAGCACTGGTAATTTTTAAACCGTAGTGCTAACAAGCAGAAATGGGTCACGAAATTCCCAAATACACAGAGTAGGAGGAGGCAGCATTTTGAGAGTGAGGATGAAGAACTGGAAGTAATACTTCTTCTATCCAAGAACTGTCACAAGTTCTTCATGGCCTTTTTATTAACTTGGCTGTGATAGAATTGTCTTACAAATAGTTTGTGCAATTCCCTGAATGAGATGTAAAATGTCAAAGGAATTAAATTATTTTAACTTATTTAGTTCAAGTAATTATTTTCTTAATCAGTTGGGGCCCATTCAGTGGTGAATACTGCCCTCTGGTGAAATAAAAAACTTAACTATATTAGTACAAACGCTGGAATCTTTTGAGTTTTTATGTTCTTAATCCTTATTTCTGAATCTGGTTTAGTTTACAGGAAGGAAATACAAAAAGTTACATAATTAAATATGTGCTTTCAGAAAAATTACAGTAGTGTGACATATTATTTTGAAATACATGAGTTAAATCTGTAGTTTTTAATTCAATATTTATTAAACTGTGGCAAGTAAAAAATTCATACAGGAGAAATTTTTAATTTGTTAATTCTAAAAACCACCTATATTTGGAAACTTGCAAAATTTCTACAAATCAACTGTGCTTCACTTACACAAAAGTAATTTATTGTGAAATCACTAATTAAATTCAGTTTTTTCCACTTCAGAATATAAGATGATATCAGAGGTTTTTTGTAATAAAAACTTAGCAATTTTTGCCTGAAAATTAAATAGTTTAATGAGTAAGTACCAAAACCATTAAAACATGAAACACAAACTTTATTAATTTTTCTATAGAACACCCCTGTTGAAAATACATTTAAAATATATTCTTTTATACTTAGATGTCATGCTATAATACAGTGTGAAATAATGGTAATGGAATAAGCAAAAGTGATTTATTTCATAACTGCATTCATAAACAAAAGACTTTGCACAAACAGTCTGAAGAAACAAGGAAATAAATGCAAATTTTCTAGTAAAGTACTATTTATTTGTACAATGACATAATGACCTTGGTGCTTCTTAGAAGAAGTAAACTGCTTACTATGTTGATGTGAATTAACTCTTTCTGATCACTATGGTACCATATTCAGTAGATTTATGATCCATTCTCCTACACTAATCACCTGGTACAGGTACAGTTTTAGTCAACCCACTTTAAACAGCTACAGTTGATGTTTAATAAGAAATATGGAAGTTAATGTTAACTTATATTTTCCTAGAAAATTTTCTAATTTGTAATATGCTTGCAAATTTATTTTTACTTTTTTAAAAATATGACATTCTGTTCCTCCTGGTATCTTAGTAGCCAAATGAGATTATGGACAATGCAGAGTCAGAGCTTATGACCAACCTAACACCTACTAAAAAGAAATTGTGTATGTGGCCAAAGAAATTCTTTGATAAGATCAAAAAGCTATTAGGTTCTTATGTCTAAAGAGCACAATGAAAAATGCCATAATAAATTTAATCAAGAAATTTGAAAAAAGTAGCTAGTGGTCTGAAAAGCTAACAAGGATGAATATTTGATAGCCGATATGAGGTGAGCCTTGAAGTAGAATATTTGAGCTGACGTGAAGTGAGGTGGACTGAGGATGTGACAATCACAAGCAAGGCAGGCAAAAGCAACAGTTTGAGGACAATATGAAGGAAAATTTCCAGCAACTTGATAGAAGTAAGAAATGATGGCGAAAAAGTTTTGAGCAAAACCATAAGGGAGAAGACATAGTCACTCTGGAAACTGAGTTTGGTCACATATAAATCATAATCCTCTCTGTTTATCATTAGGATATCTTACAAATCTATACTGTAGGTGGGTGAATGTTACCAACTGTACCAGGTGATGAAACTTCAACAACTCCCTAATGGAAAAGAAGTTATAGTTGCAAAGCAGTAAAGGTCCCTATATGGAACTCAGTGAAATATTGTTGGTATTGTGGACTTTTTAATTCCACTTGCAGAGATGGACAGCAACGTTGCCAACAGCACCATTTCTGAACTGAAGACAATCCATCTAATTTCCTAAATGGTACCCTTATGCCTGAGATCATGTACCTCCAAAAAGTAAATAAAGACTTTGCTCCCAGGGAAATGACCTAAAGTATAATCCTAATTTTTAAAAAAATCAATTCTATAGAAAATGCAGAGATATAACCTTTTTAGTGGGGGTACTTATTTTACTAATTTCTAAAATAAATTTATACATTAATGCAATGTGATACACACAAATCAACAATGCCTGAAGTTTTGATAACAAAATTGACAAATTTTCTAATCAGAAAAATATACTATACTTTAAAAAATATTTTATGTCTCTGATCAAATATATACTGTACAATTTACAGGTTGGTTGATGCAACATAACTCAAATGATGCAACTATAGTAAAAATAATTCTCCAAAAATTATTGGCTAAATTAAAATTACACGGCAGTCATTTAAAATGAGAATGTTCGAAGATCTAACACTGTTAACTATATGATATTGCAATACTCATTCAATAACCTGAAAATTTTTTAACTAAAGCAAAGCATTCTCAAAAAAGCAATTTGCAAAAATACTAATTTTGATAAATCTTTTATAAAAAATGTAATAAACATTATAAAAAATATTCTTTAAAATTACATTTTCCCCAGTAAATAGAGGCCCGAGTACATAGTACATTTGGTTTTTCTACATAGAAAATGTACCTTCTTGTCCCTGATGTAACTGTTATTGGCAGTGACAACAAACAGCTTATACTATTCAGCAAACAAATCATAGCTTATATAAAGAGCACCAAACTTAATGTAAAGCAATAAAAAATGAGTATACATATAGCACCACTTCTTTATGAAAAATAATCTTTAAATTAAAACCAAAAGAGGGGCAAATAGTATAATAAGTGTGTATTCCAGGACAAAAATGGTTTGGAATTGGATGCTACATGAGTTGATTTTTGCGTGGGGCAAGGAATTTCCTTTTATGAAAACTAATCTGATTGTTTCTTACAGCCTTGGAAGCTAAGTGGAAAGTAGCTAATGATGGCAAATGATGCAGATTTTTTTTTCAAAATAATAAAAATAAAACTACATAGTTTATTATTACCACTCTGGTAGTACAGAGTGCCATTTTAAACCATAAGAAACAAATGATTTACTTGTATGTACCTAAAGATATATGGATAAAATAAAAATATGGTACAGTATATGCAATATATATATATATATTTTTAAAATCAGACAAGACATACATCTATGTACATGGGCGTAAGAGATGAATACATATTTCCATTCTCAAGCTTAGCAAAAAAGATGAAATGTTTTAAAACAGAAAGTGTATCATTTATAAGGAATTTTGGACTTTTCATCTCTGAACAGTTGAGTATAAAAGTGGTAAAAGAAAACCTTTCCAAGTAATATAAATATTGTCTGAATAAAATGACAATTATATTTCTCTCAAGAATAACCATACTTCAAAAAAGCTTACACCTATTTAAAAAACAACAAAAGAGAACACAATTCACATGTTTATTCCCTTTCTGAAAAATCATTAAAAGCATAACCAAATTGAACACTGGAGCTTCAGAAAATGATTAGCAAGAAAGATCTGCATCTTTAAATTCTATGGTAAAACTTTTGTAGTCAAATTATAAAAGTTGATAAACCCCTGCAATCTTGTTTTATATCCTTTGGAATTCAGCCATTTTGGTTCTCAATGTGAAGATCAGTTAAAGTTAATGCGTGCTTATACATTTCCTGTATCAACTATTATATTTATCAAAGTATTCTAAAAAAAAAATCCCAAATAACTGCTAGCAAGAGTCAGTTAAATGCTCACCCCTTGAATGAATTTTGAAATGCTACAATAGAATCATTTCCTGAAAATAGTAGAAATATCACATTTTAAGAGAAATCTTCTGCAAACTGAGAACTAGATACCATAGTAAAATATTTTTAAATAAAAATGATATCTGTAAACCTGAGAAATCAGTCCAACCAGAAAATACAATAATCCTTGTGTCTCTCACTAGCTAATACTTTCCTTGTTTGAGTCTTTCAATGTGGTAGCAGAGTTTTAATGCTGGTCCCAACTTTAGTCCCATATATCTCATTATCATATCACTCCTCAATAACAGAAGTGCTTTCCCATCAATCTCCTATAGAGGAAAGGAAAAAAGAGAAAAATATTTTAACATTACTGTTAATATGAATAAAGTATCTCATTTATATTCCTGCAGGACACAAATGTCAAATGACAAATTTGAATCCATATTCCTGTCTTTTAAGTATTGCCTCTGTAATCTGTAAATCCAGTTTTTAAAATTTTTAAAAAAGGAAATTTGATAGTATATATTTACTAAGAACAAAGATTAAAGAACAGAAATAAAGCATAATTTTCAATTCTGTTATTCCAAGAAAACCTGGATACCTATGGGGTGCCACTTCACTGGTAAAGGGCATTAGAGTACTAGTGAGAACAGCTAGGTTCAAGTCCCATTTCTACCACTTAATAAACTGCACGACCCAGAGCAATTTACAACTATTCTAAGCTTTCATTTTCTAACCTGTAAAATGAAGTGAAAATACTTATATGACTTAACTTACTGTAAAGATTAAGTGAAGTTCATGTATGTGAAAGACTTTGTAAACTTAAAGTGTGTAAATGTTAGAAATTATTATGCACAATATAGTAACTATATAGGTAAATAGCAACATATATAAACTCAATCTCAAATGTTTATTCACTTGCTCAGAAAATGAAGGAGCATCATGATGCAGAGTCCAATATTAATGCCATCAATATAAAAGCTCTCTGAAATTAATTTCTTTAAGGTGAATAATAATTACAGAATTCCCTGATGAGGAATAAATGCTAAAAACTAACCCTAAATGTTCTTAGTTAAAATGTAAAGAATTCAGCAAACATTAGACCTCTCTTTTCAATGGTTTAGAATAAACTACTAGCTAAGCCCCTTGGCTTCTTTGAGTCTCAAAGCATCTCCTTGGCCCTACTCTAAATTCCAGAAAAGTTGCTGCTGGGGCTCAGTGGAGAGTTTTTACACAGAGCATTCCTTGCTTGTCTGGATGTAATCACTGGTCCAGACCAAACCTCCAGCCTCTCTCTCTTTCTAAAATAAAATAAACAGAAACAAAGCGCAAGACACTGACTGTGCTAGACATTGGAGATACAAAGATAAAAACAACAACAAAAAAATCCTTACCCTTGAGGAGCATACATTTTACTGGAAGTACACAAAATTAAGTATAAGGTAATTTCAGGAGGTAAGAAACAACCATTAAGTGACTCTGGGATGGATTTATGAAAGAATGTTATTTTTGCAAATTGCTGTACTCTGGTGTAGCACCTTGCAGGGAATGTCAGAGAGTGATACCATTTGCACCCCAAAATTTCAGTCATCTGTTGAAGCAGATGAGTCATTAGGCATCTAACCACTGCTCGGTATGTAAAGCATGTAAAAGTGAAAAGTGTGTAAAGTAAAAAGAAAGATACTCTATTATTACTTGTCTATTTGTAGTTATCTCTCTCCTATTGTTAATGAGGTATGGGGGACAAAAAGAAGACATTCTCAAATAATTTTTAAGTCTTTATTTTTTTATATACGTATTTACAGAAATCCAGTCATTTGAAGGGTGCTGTGCTACTAATGTAAATCAACATTTAATTGCAGTAACTGTGGACTCATAATTTGAAGCAGTTTGACAAGGTTATTACATAGAAAAAGTAATAAAAAAAAAAGTAACCTACATGTCTCCTGAAGAGCTCTGCATGTGGTGCTAATGCCTGAGGATCAGCTTCTTTCACAAATCGCATCACTTCATCTATGGACCAACTTGAGGGATCTTTATTGGATCCTCTTGAAGATTCCCTTTTTAGTGCACTGAGTTCTGGTCCAGTTGTTGAACTTGCAGCTTCAATTAAAAAAAAAGAAAGAAAAAAGGAAAAACACAGAACACTTACTTATTAGAAATGTATTTGTTCTAATTTGGATAAAGGATAAATTAAAATTCATTAAATGTTTTGGCTTTAGCATTCATCTTTAAATAATTGATTGGAAAACAGAGTAATATTTTTGCCACTGGGAACCCTCAAATAATCACCAAAATGGTGACCCAAAAAAGTTTTAGGAAGAAATTGAGAAACAGCAGAACAAAGAACCTACAAAGATGTGCACTCAAAAGATATCTGTTTAGAAGAAAAAAAGCTTTATTCCATTTCAAAAGAAGTTAAATAAGTTATGCTATCAAAGGTAAGCAGACTAAGGAGATCACGGCTAGTCCCAGCCATAATAAGTTCAGAAAAATATTTATCTTAGGGCACATGTTAGGTTAGATAAAATTAATACATAACCCACTCACCTATCTTTTCTTAAGAACTGAGGACCTGTATTTCTCTGTGTAGCCTACAGAAGTGCGGCTGAAGTCTAAGGAAAAAAGTCTAATTTTGATTTAACCTCTCTGAAGTACTAGTCATTTAGTGTAGATTTCTAAAGTTTCTTTCCAGAAGTGTGAATTTTCTAGGAAAAAGATATCTTTGTTACCTCTAGTTGTGAGAGACAAATTTAATTTTGTCTTAAAAGTTTTCTCTTCTAAAGTATGCTGAAAATGCAAATGACAACAAAAGAAAACTAAGAAGGAAACACAGAAAAGCACAGTAGCTTTGAAAATGATGCACAGTACTTATATAGTTTTTCCAAAAAACAATGTGAAATGAAAATTCACAGTTTTATACCATATCCTCTTTTTATGTTGTGCTATGTACAATGTAAATGTTCTTTTTTTGTCTTTTTGTATTTGAATTCAAAATGAATAAAATTTTTAAAAATTATACATATGAAATCATGTAAAACATTTCCCATATTAGCTATATTGCAAAAAAAAAAGGAAAAATAAAGTGAAAAAATTATATTTAAAAAAAAGAAAATGCAAAAGATCTGCTTAACTACTTATTTGACTTTTCAACCTTAAACAAGGTCAATCTCTGCTTTGAGATAGTGTGTTACTCATTGATTGATCTAATTACCCATGTTCAAATTTTGGCTCAGCCACTTACTGTGTCAAACTTGAGCTAATACCTCAAATTTCTGGACCTTTTTTTCTTCACTTGCAAAATGATGGGGTTGGACTACATTGCTAAGATTCCTTCCTCCTCTAAAACCTATGACCTATCCAACCAAGTCTGCAATCTTACAGCCAACCTTGACTTCTCAGTCTTCCTTTTCCCTACTGCCAATCAGTTGCCAAGTCTTGTCAATCCTACCTCCCGACAGCTTTCACATCCATCTCCTTGCCCCTGCTCACAAGATCATCCTAGTTTACCTCTGTATCACCTTTCACCTGAACTGTTTCAACAAATCCCTAACTGATATGCCTGACCCAAATCTCTCCCCTCTCCAATCCACAGTCCACCCAGCTGACAAAATGATAATGCTAAGCACAGGTGTGACTGTGACATGCTCCTGTTCTGTAGACTCCAGGGCCTCCCTATGATCTCTAACAATCAAATACAAACTCCTCTTTTTGACATTTAAAGTCCTTCACAACATGTCTCCAGTTCAGTTTTCTAGTATTAAGCACTTTCCCTTTACTTTTCAGCCTATTAGGATTTCTTATAGATCCTCACACAACACATTCCATCCCCCTGCTTCCTTCCATGTCTTTGCACATATTGATCCTTCTCGGAATGCCCTTTTTCTCCTTATCTTTCCTTCTGAGATTCCCTAGTTACCTTCAAAGCTCAGCTCACAAACACCTTTAACTGCTAATGATTCTCCCACAAATTACTTTATATTTATATATGTGTTTATATTTGTACAAAGAATCATAGGATCATAGCTATAGGGCCATCAAGTTCAACCCCTCATTTTACAGATGAGGTAACTGAGACCACGGGAAGTTAATGGACTTGTCCCAAGGTCACACACCTAACAGTAAGCATTAGAGGCCAAACTTGAATCTGGATCTTCTGTGTCTCCAAAATCAGAGCTCTTTCCAGTGCACAGTGCTGCTATCCTGTTGTGTTATCTCCTCTGACAGAATGTAGATGATATTTTTGTAGAAATAAAGACAGATGTGAATAAATGAAAAAATACTAACTGCTCATTGTTGAGCTATGCTAATAATAAAAATGATGACAGTATTATCTAAATTAATTTACAGATTCAGCACCATACCAATCAAAAGATAATAAGACCTAGGAAAAAATAACAAAATTCATCTGGAGGTACAAAAGGTCAAGAATCTCAAGAGGAATAATGAAAAAAAGTGGAAAATAAGGAGGCCTAGCAGCCTCAGATCTCAAACTATACTAAAAAGCAAAAATCATCAAAAACCTTTTGGTATTAGTTAAAAAACAGAAAATTTGATCACTGGAACAGATAGGTACATCATATAAAGAAGTATAGTATTTGATAAGCCCAAAGATCCCCAACTGCTTACATAAGACCTCATTATTCAATAAAAAATTGTTGGGAAACCTGGAAATCAGTCTGGAAGAAACTTTAGACTAATATCTCCTCCCATACACATCAGGGTAAGCTTCCGAAAAGACCTAGATATAAGAGGTCCTATCACAGAAAAATGAGAGGAACAAGGTAAGAAATACTTTGCCCAACTATGGGTAGGGGAAGAATATATGACCAAACAAGTAATGGTTAAGTGTCAAAGAAAATAAAATAGACAATTTTGATTACATTAATTTAAAAAGTTTTTGCACAAACAAAATCAAAGCAATTCAAATGAGAAGAGGAATAGGTAACTTGGAAAAAACAATCTATGCAGCACATGTCTCTGATAAAGTTCTCATAATCAAAATCTATGAAGAACTGATTCAAATATGTAAGAATAAGAGCCATTCCCTAATAAATGGTGAAAGGATATGAATAGGCAGTTTTCAAAGGAAGAAGTCCAAGCTACAACAACCACATTAAAAAAAATGCTTCTAATCAACAATGACTAGTGAAATACAAATTAAAACAATTTTGAGGTTACACCTCATACTTATCAGATTGGCAAATACATTAGATGACAAAAGAGAAAGGTGACAAATGCTTGGGGGGCTGAGGGACAATAGGCACACAGATGTGCTACTGGTAGAATCATAAATTGCTCCACCATTCTGGAAGGCAATATAACTATGCCCCAAAAGTCATTCAACTAGACATACTCTTTGATCCATATGTACCCACTCTTTTTGTTATAACAAGGAATCTAAGGAGGTGGCCATCAACTGAATAGCAGAAAAAGTTGTGATATATGGATGTAAATGACATATTGTTATGTGAAAAATGTGATAAAGTGGGTAATTTTAGAGAAATATGAAAAGACTTAGGGAACTACAGAGTCAAATAGAACTGGGAAACAATTTACATAGAAACAAGAACATTTTAAAGAAAAATTTTGTTAAAAGTTGTGTTCAACACAATGACCAATCAAAATTCCAGAGGAGCAATGAAGACTCCTATTATTTATCTCCTGCAACAGTTGTAGACTCAGGGAACATGAGACATATGTTTTTTGATACAACAAACATAGGAATTTGTCTTATTTTACTAGAAGTATTAGTGGATAGAGTACCAGACATGGAGCCAGGAAGATATGAGTTCAAATATGATCTCAGACACTTCCTAGTTGTGTGTCCTTGGGCAAGGATTTAACCTTTGCTTGCCTCAGTTTCCTCATCTGTAAAACAGGGCTGTTGTTAGGATCAAATAAAGTAACACGTAAAGTGCTTAGCCTAGTGCCTGGCACAGGGTAGGCATTATATAAATATTGGCTATTATTATTAGTGCTTTCTTTTTTTTTTTCTTCCAATGTTAGAAAGGAGCATAGGGCTAGCTATAGGATTGTCTCCCCAAAATAATGAAACAGGATCTTTGAAGCATTTTTAAATGCACAAAACGAAAGGAAAAACAGATAATAAGCAGGACAGTTTTGAAAATTACATGCTGAATATGTTATATGATTTATTATAAACATAAAAGGAAAATAAAGATGTCTATGTGTGTGTGTTTACAAATAAGGAAACTGATGCATCTATGGCATTATAATTTTCCCCATTTTTGTGCTAAGAAATGTTTGCCCCCAAAAGCATATTTTATAATACCCAAAATATAAGCCTACAGAATTAAAATACAAGACTTTGGAAACTGACTTTCCAGTGGCATATGGGAAGATTTCAAGGGCCATAGTGGTTTCACAGTTCCTGTTTCTTTAATAGTTTTAGCCTCCCTGCCTGAATTCTGTTGGTGACAAAGACGGAACCCCAAAAGACTGCAATAACCATCACTAATAGGAGAAATTGATTCTCGTTCTGAACACAAAATCAGAATCATAGTTCTGAAGAGCAGAAAAGGGTGTCAGACTAGCCGTACCAGATCTAAAACTGTATTATAAAGCATTAATCATCAAAACTATTTGGTACTCACCAAGAAACAGAGTGGTGGATCAGTGGAATAGGTTAAGTACACAAGACACAGGAGCCAATGACTACAGTAATCTACTGTTTGATAAAGCCAAAGACTCCAGCTTCTGGGATAAGAACTCACTATATGACAAAAACTGCTGGGAAAACTGGAAAACAGTATGGCAGAAACTAGGCATAGACCAACATCTTATACCAAGATATGGTCAAAATGAATACATGATTTAGACATAAAGGTTTGTGATACCATAAGCAGATTAGGAAAGCAAGGAATAGTTTGCCTGTGAGATCGATGGAGAAGAGAAGAATTTATGACCAAACAAGAGAAAGAGAACATTATGAAATGCAAAATGGATAATTTTGATTACATTAAATTAAAAAGGTTTTGCCCCAACAAAGCCAACGCAACCAAGATTAGAATGAAATCGAAAGCTTGTAATAAATTTTTATAGCCACTGTCTCTGATAAGGTTCTCATTTCTAAAATATAT